TGACATTTTTTGCAAAAGCGAATAGTAGGGATTTGTAAATTGGCCCAACCCGAAGTTGAAAGGGGATTGGGGTTGTAGTAGTAAATTTGTGTTAATAAGTCAGTGCATCTAAAATAAATCTTCTTAATGGAATTTCTAACCAAATATGAACTCCGTTTTTGACTTAAATGGGCAGCCTGATAAAGCAGTAGATTAAGTTAGTTTATCTTCTAGTCATATTCCCAGTTGGTATCAGTTGCCAGTTCCAAAGTTGCTAAAGTAAAAGTGATATTTCCATGGGCCATCAAGAGATAAATATACCATCTAACAAAGCAAGTGTCGACTAAATGTGTAGCAGCAATGGTAAACTTGAAAATATTTTTGCTTCCCTGACAGCAGCAAGATTTCTATTACTTCCATACTGATGCAGAACTTATTTCACTCTTAGCCCAGATCCGGGAAAATGCGAAGGCCTGACTTGTCGAAATTGGGACTAGCTAAAGCTACCTGGCATGAAGATATCGCTTTTAGACCATTGAGTAGAAGAAGGTTATCAGTAAAAACCTGTCCCTGTTATAAGAAATACTTGATCCTGCCTTATAAGAAGCCACGAGTATATAAGGAGTCGAGGCAGCATTACCCACAATTGAACAGACTTCCATTTGGAGTGAAAGCCCCTGATGTAGAGATTCATAAGTAGATTTCATCAGAGGATGATAGATGACTCCCGATGCTATGAAATCATAGGATTCTAATATGGCGTTCAAATGTACTCATTTCAGAAAACAGCCTCTTTCGGTTCAAATAGCTTTCTTGTCTCCAGTATATGTAGATTTCGAGACTATCGGCAATTCATAAAAAAGAACACATGTCTTATAGTTTTATCGGTTTCTATGTAGCAAATATACAGATGGCAAGAATGTTAGTGATAACATATTGATGAATCTCCTGAGATAAATTTGTTGTAGCGATTTTATTTCATATGAACATTCATTATTAGGGGATGCCTAGTTCGATGTCTGTAATATAAAATCAAACCGAACGATTTCGGTAGTCAGCTATCGTATACTATCGAAGTCGACTTAATAAGCTGATAACTTTTATATAAAGTGAGTCAGCCCACAATGTTAACTCAGATGATTCATCGAAACCTCATTACATTTCGAATACTAGTGATGCATGAATAAAGTGAAAAGACTCAGCGTAAGCATGCTTACTCATTTGAAGCACTCAAGAGGAAACCTTCAGAATGAGTTCAAGCAGTATTTAGATCGCAATACAGTTATTATACGATATGACACACAAAAGCTCTTTGTAACATCGGAAACGTTATGAATAAAACAAGAAGCTGTGACTGGACGATGCTATCCCCTAATTTTTCTATCGGGTCCTATGAGATATTTGAATGACTGGCTTAAAGCTGCGCTATTCTAGCTAATTACCATCGATGGCAGAGATGCAGACACCCTGTGCAGAAAGAAACGATGCTTAAAGGTAGATTAGTAGCCGCCATAGAAAAGATACGTCCAGAATGCTGCTTCCCTAACCCACCTGACAACTCCATGACAGGCCTACTTTAAGACAGAAGTTGTTTGAATTTGTTTTTGCAACTTGGTCATATTGGTAGGAAGACCTAGAGAAAAGCACCTTGCCCGGAGTCCATAGAATGCATGATCATTTCCAGAGTTGGAGCGTGGACGTGGTACATTCCCAGACGTTTCGCCGGTCAAATAACTCCTATACAACGAAAGGAGACCACGACCATACAAAAGGCCACACGATCCCGGTCTTCATATCTTCTACCTTAAGACAAACAACTATAATTCTCGCTTATAGGTAGGATTTTTGAGACTACCACTAGATCATACATATGAGATGCACTCAACATATTTCGTTTAAGGTGATGAAGGACTGGTAGTTGAATTTTCCCACAATTACATGAACTGGCATCACGGTTCCATTAAATTCCATTCGCGTAGGCTTGTTTTCCAAACGGTATTCTCATCCAAGATGAATATATATGAACGAACTATGATATTTATTCCATAAGTGACAGGCCGCGTGACTGCGTCTGCACATGAACAGGGAAGTCTGGATGTATTGACAGACATAGGGCCCAGCATTTATAATGGTATATCAGATAGATCAGCAAATAATTAACCTAATTAACCTATTCTGAGTCACATTATATTGAATTTTGAAATATAGAGTTTCAAAGGTGAGAATAAACCGGGCAGATCATGGCATAGTGGACCAATTTCTATGTTGAATAAACCTCTTTGCTAGTGTTAGAGATATTTCTGCCCAAATTCAATCAAAGAATCCCGGAAATCGGCCTTGGGAAGGGTGTGTCATAATGATAATTTCTATGAGCATCGTCGCAACTTCGTTAATGTTAAACCAAGCTTTTTCCTGGAGCATGACTCCTCATCAGTTTAGAGATCATTCAGAGATTATTTTTAAACTGTTATAATCTCCGATACACTAAGGTTAGGCAAGAGTTCTTCAGGGAGCAAGGAAAGGGGAGGTGATAAAAACGATCAGGAGCACTTATGTGGAAGATCAGAGACGATAGTAGACCGACCAGACAAGATGGGCATACAATAAAGAAGCGGATGATAATGGATTCGAAAAGAATCGTTGACAATACCTTGTAAGGAGCAGTGGCAATAAAAACAGACGAAATAATTTAAGAAAACATTTGGCAGAACATGGTAATATAGTGCTCTTTTCTAGCCAGCTTCAGTAACGATGGAACCGAATTTTCAGATGATGTGGAAAATCATGATAGGGAAATTACCTCGTCAGAAGGATCTGCCATGGTGACCTGATTTGAAAGACCAAGCGAAGGAAGCGTAGCTCCTGGAAAATAAGAAGATAGTTGTTTTTAGAAAGCGGTATTAAACAAAAACCTTAAAATTAACTATTAAAAAATATTAAAAGTAATAATGTCAGACTAAATGGTTCTCCAGAGCTTACTTTGTTGGAAAATTCAAAGTTTTGTCAGTAACTCTTCAAAGGCCTAGCGCAATTCTGAATTCAATTCATTCAGGCAGCAAAACCAACCTACACTATTTGCATAACGATCTTTCGACCCTAATACGTATCAATGGTGCAATTTGACGACCGGAATGGTGTGTCTTGGGGACAATTATGACTTTCTCAGACTCAGAATTCTATGGGAGTTGGTAAAGTCCCGAGTAAGTTAAAAATAAAAAGTAAATGTCTCTATAATAAAGTGAATATGTGAGGACCCGATCGAAGTAAATAACTAAAAGTGCAATATTCACTGGGGTAAAGCTTAGAAATTGGAATGACTGGAATTGATGCGAAGTTGAATGGCTACTCTGTATAAAGCCACCATTTATTAAAAGATAAAAGGCAGAGCAGCATACGGACATTGGCTGCAATACTCTGTTATATCCTTGGTATTGACATCGATATAGCCACATACAGAATCGAAAAAAAACAAAAGTTTAAAATAGTCGTCTATGCTTGTAAACGTGTAGATACATTTAAAAGCCGCACAATATCAATTTTACTGTCTTGTATATGGTAATCCACCGTAAACCACATCGTTTTAAATTGGCAAGAAGTCGTGGCGTACACGGCAATTTTCATCTTCTTTAATTTCGAAATACTGGCTTAATCTGCTCTTCAGAAATAAATCAGAATTATAG